AAGCGATCCATCCAGTTTGTGGACTGGTGTCCCACTGGTTTCAAGGTTGGCATCAACTACCAGCCACCCACTGTGGTTCCTGGTGGGGACCTGGCCAAGGTCCAGAGGGCGGTGTGCATGCTGAGCAACACCACTGCTATCGCAGAGGCCTGGGCTCGGCTGGACCACAAGTTCGATCTGATGTACGCCAAGCGTGCCTTCGTCCACTGGTATGTGGGTGAGGGAATGGAGGAGGGAGAGTTCTCCGAGGCCAGGGAGGACATGGCAGCTCTGGAGAAGGATTATGAGGAGGTTGGGGTCGACTCCATTGAGGGTGAGGGAGAGGAGGAAGGAGAAGAGTATTAAAAGAAACAGAGAAATGAAGTTGAGCAGAAAATGATCAGTTATGTTTTCTTGAATGCATTCCAAACAGAGATCTTTGTCCTCTGAAAATGTCAAGTTTGGCTTTGCTCTGAATAAAATCTCTGACTTAAGGTTGTTGGTGTTTTTATTTAATCTAACAATGTTTTCCCAGAATATTTTGAAAGTGCTGTAGAGAATCTGTAATGTCTGTAGAGTTTTCATGGGGTGAGAGACGGGGTACTGAGGCACCTCTCTTCAAAAAAAAGAGCAGAATTAGGAACAATTCTACTGTCTACTTTAGGGATGTACTGTATGTTGAATACCAAGGGACAATCTCAGCAGCTAATTAAAGAAAATGTCATCTGTCTTATCTCACAACAGTAAACTTGTAGTTATTGCTTTCCTCAAATCTTGCACAATGCTGTCCTCCTGTGGCCATGCAAAGAGTAACCGCTTCTGTACCCAAATTCCACTAAAGCTGAGGCAATAGGAGTCAGTGGCCCCATCCAGACGACGAGTGCATGTTTGATAATTAGATGAAGAGGTACAGACCAGCAGCAGTGGCGATACAATTTTGGGAAAGAAATCAAGACCCAAATAAGGCAGAAAATTGTAAAAACACATGGGAGGGACCTGAGGTAGGCCTAACGAGTGAAGAGATCAAAGTAAATATGAAAAGGGTTTCAAGTACTGAAATAAAAAGATTGTTACATGGAGGAAAAGTTACCTTAAAGGTTAGGATTGGGTATGCCAGTTATTCTAAAGATCTTCACCAGGAGGATGCTTCAAATGTTTACTGCTACAACCTGGGGAGCAGCTGAGAAGTATCTTGAGATAAAGGAGGTATCTGTCAATAAATGCAGTAATGACTACAGGGACAACTGAAAGTCAAACAATGTGGTAGTTTGGCGGTATTGCTGATACTACAGTGAAATACTAGCTTTTTCCTGATGGACAAGGATTTTTATAATTTGAAAAGCAATAGGTTAAATTCAATTTTCAATTCAAGTCTATATAGTGCCAATTCACTACACATTATTTCAACACACATATAGGAGACAATACAATCAGATTAAGTCAAAGTTTTCCAAGAAAAAGCAGTTGATTGCATTGAGTCATTGACTACAGCCATCCCTCATGAGCTTCCTGAGTATGCATACAGCAACAGTGGAGTGGAAAAACTCCATTTAAAAAAGAAACTTCCAGTAGAACCAGGCTGAACTGCCTTTTGCCAGCATTTTGGATCAGCTGAAGGGTTTTAACCACAGTTAATTGACTTCCTGATGAAGAATCACAATAATCAAGCCTTGAAGTAACAAATCGTTTATCAGCATCACCCCTAGCAACATTCTGGAGATGAAATTATATGAAATAAAACATTACTTAAAAAAAAAAAAAACTATTGAGAACCTATATTGTTTCAAGAGTCTGAACTATAGGATTTTAAATATATATATATATATATATATATATATATATATATATACATATATATATATATATATATATATATAGCAAATTAACAAATTAAACCAAATATTTGATGGAGAGTAATATTGAATAAAGCACTCTTAATTACAAATGTTCTTGAACCCAAGTGAAGGTTTAAATAGCCATAAATATTTGTTACTGATTAGACATCTAGATTTATGACCTTGAGCAAGTGTTCAATTAGCATTTTCTGTGCCTGGGAAGGGCTTCCTGTTTAAATGTATCAGGATTAGCCTCACAAGCAAGAATACTTTGGTCCACTGCTGGAGCAAAATGTACAGATTCTGAGGGGTTTTGGGGGAAAAACTTTTTAGATGTGCACCAATCCACCTGTGCTGAGCTGCTATGGTGTCTGTGAAACGATGGGGAAACCCCCAGTTCAAATTTAAGGATGACTTTACCCTGTTGACAACGAGATAACCGGTGTGAGAAAAGGGCATCCATAACATCAGTCCAAGGCCATGTTAAAAGCCTCTTTCAGCTTTACAAGAGGATGAAATAATGGATGCCGAAAGGTAGAAAGCTAATGGCTATAAATCAATTATTCCAAGAGGAAACGCCCAACCTTCATAGCTCCATTATTGCAGAAAATCACAAGCATGTGATGCTCTGATATTAATACTTGCCTAGCTGAGCTTCAAACTGACGTAGATTTTTCATATTTTCTACTAAATCTTCCACCATGTCAATAACATTTCCATTGCTTACTTACAAATCCTTGGGGGAAACTGGATTAAAGCTCCAGAGGACAAAATAAAGGAACTCTATTTCATGCAGGTTGTCTTCTTGTCTCCTCCAGCTCTTCTTTCCTCTGTAAAGATCAGTTTCATTCAGAGCTTCCTCCTTGGTATTACTCTAATGGTACAAACAACTTAGACCAGCTGAGATTTCCACATCAAATGTTGGAATTAAAATAACCAACAG